AAGAAAGTGTGTTTTACTCATTAATCAGAATCTAAGCCTTAGTTTAATACTTGACTCATATTTGAAATTCCCAAGAATCCCTAAAACTAAGATTCATTTGACAATAGATCTTTTAAATGAATTAATTAATGATTTTCCTAAAGTAACAAATATTTTTATAAAGGATTAATCTTGTCCAAAATCTAAAGTATACTTTTTATATATGCTTATTAATTTAGGAAATGACAGTTCTTCACTACCCACTAGCAGACATTTAGGCACTTGACTGGAAGGTTTCCATCATACTTAGATTTTATCTTACTCAGACAGCTATCACAGAGGCTCTGTTAATTAAAAAATATGTTAAGTTCTGTGAGAATGGTGAGGTACTATAATTTTACCTAAAATCTCCCACATGCTGGAACATTGTTGAGGGCACATCTTACAAACGCTCCATGGATAGAAAAAAACGGAGCTGGACGGGACTGATCTGTTTTATGGGTTTAGAGAATTAATGGAACGTGAAAAGCAAAGATGAACTATAAACGAGTCTTCTAAAGAAATTTTAACTCCATCAGGGGTCTGAATTTTTGTATTAGAAGAAATTTTCCACGAATTTGATTTCTACACATTTGAGCAAGAAACCAACAAGTATTTCACCAAGAGAAATTTCTGTCAGGCTTGGTAGGACATACTTCTAATCTTAGCGCTTAGGAGGTTGAGGCAAGCTTGGGTTACACAGTGAGGGCCAGGACAGTCTCAGCTACACAAAAAGATCCTAGACAGACAATAGACACAAACAAGAAATTTCTTTATGGACACACAACTTCAGATTAGCTCCCAGGAACCTTTATCTATCCTCGAAATTCATCTAGACTCTGAAAAGCCTGAAGCTGATTATTACAATAGTCTGCATTTTAATTTCTCCTAGAGTTTAGTTTAGCACCCACCATAAAACATCCTAACAATTAATGAAACGTTCAATTTTCAATTCTTTAAAATTTACAAAGTGCTGTTCTGTGTCTTACTCTTACAGAATGTTGTAGGAAGTGGACGGATATGGAAGCTGAAGGCCACGCTTTGCTGTCATTACCTTATAATGATATGACATTTATGAAAACACATTGCACACAGCAGGCTCCCAGTGGTTTCAGATACTCTGTAAAGAGCAACTCAGACACCACCAGACCATGTTTAGAAAAGCTCTAGTGAAGGCTTTGAACAAATAAACAAAGAAAGAAATGGTGATGTCATGTAGACCACGCATGAAGTTGTGTAGATAGCGTGAAATGACAACGAGGTCTTCCTGAGCTTAATGAAGGTAGAACAATGATGTGGGAGTGTCATATCAATCTGTTGATTTCATTGGCTGAGCAATAAAGAAACTGCTTGGCCCTGATAGGTTAAAGCATTGGTGGGAGGAGTAAACAGAATAGGATGCTGGGCGGAAGAGGAAGTGAGGTCAGACTCTGCTCTGCTCCCGGACAGACCCGACAGCTCTGCTCTCTGGAGCAGAGACGCCATGCTCAGCTCTCCCAGGCAGCTCCAACCCACGATGGACTTAGGCTAGAATCTTCCCGGTAAGCGCACCTTGGGGTGCTTACACACATTACTAGAAATGGGCTAGTCCAGGTACGAGAGTTAGCCTAGAAGAGGCTAGAGTTCATGGGCCACGCAGTTCTTAAATGAATACAGTTTGTGTGTTGTTATTTCGGTCATGAGCTAGCCAAGCGGCCGGGGTGTTGGGGATGCAGCCCCGCCGCTCTTATTTCAACAGAACAAATGTGTGAAAACAAACCGGCAGTGTGAGCAATTGCACACCAGAGTGGCAGCCCTGGGGAGATCCCAGGAAATTGCACAGGCAAAAGCGACAACAGCCTCACTTCAGGATGGCTGGAAAGTTTTAGGGAACTAAGGTAGAATCCACATTTCATATATAAATCAGAGTGACCAAAAAAAAAATTATTGTGTGCACAAGTTAGCAAAGAAACAAAACACCCTGGATGGAAAATGTGAAGACATTCCTAAGCGGCAATTGTGTTTAGCAAACTGGCTGCCATGGAAGGTTCATGGAGGAAGATCACGTCCGAGTGCTTAGGCCAGCGCAGTCAGATTGCAGAGTTGGAGCTCACAAGACCTTTATTGTTTTATTTATTTACTTATTTACTTTTGGCAGTGGGAAGCAGTGGCATAAATGTGGGCTAGAAGACCAATGTGGTCCCTTCCAAAGGTCAGTCCCACAGGGATGAGGGAAGAGAAAGAAACTAGAGACAGGAAGACGCGCCAGGAGTCGTTAAAACTCCACAAGCAAGACCATCTAGGCCCGAAATAGGATGCTTATTTCCCTGAAATTTGAGTCACCTTCGTTGGTGTCTGTTCGGCATATTCATCCCAATGACGCTGCTTTCTTTATAGATGTTACTGCAGTTCTCGCCACACTTAGAATATATAGATGGGATCTTTCACAAAATACCAATAACTTGCCAAAATATTTCCCCGTATATAAAAAATTAGATTTTGCTATTGTTTAAAAAGAAAGGAAGAGAAAGCCTGTCTTGACATTAAAAGTCTCAAGGATACACAGAACGAAGAGAAAACAGAATGGTTGCGGGGACGCGTGCTCCTGTCTAAGATCAGTTCTACAAACATCACACCAAATAAGGTCAGACGAGGGAGGGGGACTTGATTGGGGGAGGGGGAGGGAAAGGGGAGGCGGCGGTGGGGAAGAGACAGAAATCTTTAATAAATAAAAGAAAATAATCACGATAGAAAAATCCCCACCACCTGCTATATTGCAAACATTAAAAGAATACATAACATTTGTGGATAGAAAGGGAGTCAGACATGGTGGCACATACCTGTAACCCAAGCCCTTGGAAAGCTGAGTTAGGAGGATCCTGACCTTAAAGACAGTGTGGGCTACATTGTGAAACCCTGTTTATATTTGTCTATAAAGTGACTTTTGCCATAATTTGCACTGCAAGTCATGTT